AAAATCGCACTTAAAGTTTCTAATTTAGCTCCAGTTTCTAATTATCTGCTTAGAATACTACCAAATTAAGTTTAAAGTAAGTTGGGTTAAGGCAATCTTACCGCGAAAACCACATATGTTCAACCTCTTTCACCTCCTCCGTGTCCCGATCTTATAGATCTCAACGTGCATTTTCACCTCGTGTTTCACCAATGTCAATCATGACGAGGTCCACCAATGGCATTCGTAACACTAAATTCCGATCATACCTAACTCACCAAAAACAAATGTACTGTGCCCATAGGCCCAGCACAAAAAAAAAACTGCCAACAATAAATCCCACACAATCACAAGTGCACAATCACAAGTGCACAATCACAAGTGCACAATCACAATGTTCATTTATATACTTCAGGGATTTTATGATTTCTTTGGTATTTCGATTTTGCCCATTCAACAATGTTGCTAGTGAAACCGAGTGTGGATAAGCAGCTTCAGAATTTTTTGTTGTCTTCTTCATGRTGCTTGATTGAGAATCACTGAAATATCATAAAACATAATAAAAATAATTGTATCAGAACATGTCCTTTTGATTTGACAGATTCATACTAGAATGATCCCTATGTCGAGTTAAAGAACACACTTCATGATCAGTTATATACGCACAAGATGCTAACAATACATCAACCTTTGATGATTTGCAGCTCCTTTTCTCTGTAGTTCACTTTACAATAGTAACTTCCWGGCTCATATACTTTGATTACACAACGATGAACACCACTGCACAATGGATATCCGTCATAAAACCAGTGATAGTTAAGGGACGGTTTTTTGTGCACATTAGTCACAACACCAAGAAAGAGGTTTTTATCTTCGTGACCGTTGATTACATCTGGACCATGTATGATCGATGGCTCTTTGGGAAGTTGCCCTTCCTCACAAAATGAGAAGGAACCATTCGTGGCTCTCCAGATACACCATGTTGTTAACTTCGATGCCACTCACAAAAAAAAAATGTCGTCCAAGGGATCGTATTCTTCTTGATCTTGATCCATCAACATTTCTGAGCGATATTGGAAGTTTGACGCCCAGTTTGAAAGGACCAGGGTGCTACACTCTCCAGRCTACTTTGAAAATGTATCATACGCCAACTGGATAGTTATAGTATTTGCTTTCCCTTCAACGATCAACTTCATCTTCGTCTTCTGTGGCCACTGTAATACGATAGACGACCATGTTCACACATTATATCAGCTTTGATTTATTGCCGACTAACCATTCGGCATATTGCTTTCTTACTTACGGTTTCAATAAGTTTTTAAAATGAAGCGTCAGGCAGCTTGGGATAAGCTTAAAGATGAAATGGGCAAAAAAAGGAACCGGAACGACCGAAAGAATAGCAAGAAAGGGTCTGCGCCGCATGCGATCATCGTTCAGAGATTAGCTTCTGAGGCTGATAACAAGCACTGCAGACGTACAAGCCTATTCGACCCAGAGAATTTGTCGAATTTCCTTTTGAAGACCTGTCCTTGGCAAATCTCAAGAATGCATGTGTACAGCATTTTAATCTACCAACTCCTCAATGTGATATTTTGGTTTCAAGTAAAGGACCATTGTGTACCAACATCTCTAAAATACCGCGAAGGAAAAACAAGGTGAGCATTTATTATTTCAGACTTAATAAATTACTTTTTATCAGTTACTTTTGAATTAGCCTGACAGAAATTTTGTATAAAAATAATTCTTAGTTAAATTTTAATCTTTATTTTTTTTCCTCCTAAAAATTGTCTTTCCCATAATTCTAGAAATCTAAGAGTATTTATCAATTAAAATTCTTTTATATTTATTAAGAAACACCAAGCACTTCTGTTGACTACAATTTAGTTTGATTTCCTCGGCACAGAGTAGCTAATGCTTGTTTAAAGGCACTTGAAGTCTAATAAGGACGCAGCAATTTAAATTTCACCGAACATGCTCTTTGTAGTCATGGCAATCATTTTGTCTTGAATTATGTGAATGTGACAAAAGCTCATGTTAGCAAGGTATTTAAAACTTATGCTAAAATATTGACCTATGATGTGCACAGAGTGATTCTTATGTAAAATCTATTCCCCCTTCTCACCCTTCTCTCTTTTTTGGCCTACAAAATCAACCCATTTTACTAGAATGTCCACTTAATTCATTTCTTCATACTGCAGGTGTATCTAGTCAGATTTGCATTACAAGAAGAACAGCCTGATGCAGATACAGATCCAGAATCACCTGAATCCAAAGATAGTGAAAACCTGTCATTTCCAGGACCAGGTGGAACCATTGTTAAGGTGACGACCCTTAAAAGTCATCTAAAGATGAGCCAAAAAGCACTTTCCCAGCTTCTTTGTCAATTGAAGCATTGCTAAAAGCTGGGAAGTTAATCAAGCCTAAGCACCAAAACAAGGTGACACTAATTCTTGAGAGTTTGATATATCATCACAAAAATGGCTAGGAGGCACAGAGGAAGAAGTATCTATGATTGACCTGGAAAAATTCTCATTTCGAGATGCCTTCCATGCTGTAAGTAGTCAGAATGGCAAGAAGTGGGTTGTAAAAACGTACAACGCGAAGGCAAAATAGACAATTGAAGATACGGCAAAGACATCCATAGAGAATCACTGTCGCGAACCGGTAAAGATGCATGAAGTTTCCCGTCATCTGGCCAAAACATTTGAACCTAAAGCTCCTCCAGCCTTCGGGAAATGCTTTAAGTATAACCAGTGCTTCTTTCTACACAGTTTTCAGTGGTCAGCCTTAAACTATAGAAGAGTTTGTTCCAGGGACATTTGTAAAACTTATCAACAATGATGGTTCATTCCTAGAGCCTCCAGAGGAATCAAGCAAGGGACTCTATGCTAAAGCATAGTGTTTGGTGCATTTCAACTATGCATCAACAAAAGAAAAACGTATGCTCCTCCTCAGGTTATACATTGTATGACCCAGAAATTTCATCTGTGGAGCTGACTGATGTGGATTCAGATGAAATAAACTTTGGCTGCGGGAATTGTTCCACATATGAAATGGAGACATTTCTAAAATCCCACATTCGCAATGAGTTTGGTAAACTCATGGATTTGAGCAACGACATCAGGTCAACTTGAGATCATGCCAAGAGCCAAAAGTTAGTTTAAAGTTATTGCATTTAATCTATTATTTGTTATGTATGGTAGATATATACATTTAGATTGGTCATTTTTCATTTACACCTAGAGAAACTTCTTTTTTACACTTAATCAAAATACATCGCCAAAAGTGGTCCTTTATTTAGATGACTGAAGTAAATATACTTAGAAAACTCATTAATAATTCATGAAGAAAACACAATAGAAATCACGATCATTACGGAGGTTCTACATCTGATATAGATTCATCATCATTTGTATAAACTTTAACGTATTGCTTAATAAACGAGCAGGATAAAACACGATCTGCGAGTTTATTAAACTACTTCAAAAAATTTAAGTTTTATTTTACAAACCTTTGGCTGAAGTAGAGCGACCATTTACCTCGCGAACGTTAACTTTTGTACTTTGATAGTCGTTTGTACAGCAATGTCATGCACAGTGAGGTTTGTACGTCACTGCCATGCGCAGTAAGTGCAAAAAAGACTCCCACAAGTTGAAGACAACATGCCGAACTCAAGACAGGGGCACTAGACGAAGATAATTCATAGGTCGTCTATGATCGTACGTGAGACTGACATTGATGAGGCTCGAAGTCTTCATCTAAACTTGGATGCACCTTCATTCTGATAAGGTTGTCCATATTAGTATTCTTCATATAATGAGTACTAATAAGGATGAGACTTTATATAAAGTCTCATCCTCATTAGTATTCTTTATATAAAGAATACTAATGAAGAGGACTTTATGGGGTTTAAAGGTCCATGCACGTGACGTGTATGGTCGGCTCCAATTGGTTCCAATGCTCATTAATTATTCAAGAGTTTTTGAATTGGATTTTCTCTATCAAACTTGATTCAGTACAATATGAAAACATACATCATGTGTTTTTTAAGCCGTTGAATAAACTCGCAGATAGTGTTTTATCGGATCTAAAACCACTCGGCTGCGCCTCGTGTTTTATGCCTGATAAAACACTCCTTCCCGTTTATTAAGCAGTACATAATGCACATTCTTTATTTTACCAAAATCAAGATGTAGTAGAGGGCTTTTTAAAGCGTGTTTTACGAAAAATATATGTGAATGATGCATTTTGTGGCTTAACATCCTCTAATTTGGGGACCACTCTTTCACATTCTTCTCTTACAGCTTGGGATATAAAGTCGTTGCTAATCTCCATGACTTGAGAGAGTTCTGCAACATCATCAAGTACCTTCTTGGTTATTTGAAAGCCTAGGATGTAAAATTGTTATAATAGAGAGTTTTAGATTGACTTTTTTTCTCCCCGCAAACGGCAAACGTGACCACGTTTCCATAGTTTTCCTGTATTTTACTTTACCTTTTGCAAACCTTCTCACCAAGCGCAAATACTCTTTTGTTTTTCTACTACTTGGACTTTTTTGCGATTCTTTTTCAGTAATTTAAAAGAATTTTTTACTGGTCAACTGACGTTTCACGTTTGCCGTGAACGTAAATCTAAAACTCTCTAATTACTAAGAACTCCTTGAACTGCAAAGCTGTTATACAAAGTTAACAAGAGCAGCTGTGGGATTTGCAAACCATATGTTAAAAATAAAACATACAAACTCTACCAATACCAATTTTTTTGGAAAAATATAGCTAGGAGCTTTTCAGTAATTAYATTAGTGTCTTTGGAGGAAAATTAGGGGAAAGGGGTCATGATATTCTTCAAACCGAATAAAGGATACTTATGAATATATATATATATTTTTAGAAATCTGACCAAGGCATTTAGCCAATTGCAGCTTTAATTGCAAAACATACTGAAAGTGCAATAAAATTCATTAAAAATCAATTCATTGTATTATTGTTGATCACTCTAGTCTATTGATGAGCTTGGGAGATTTTAACATCAATTAGATAAACTTGCCACATTGTTCAGCATCATAGTTCTCTGGGAAGTGGTAGAGATGGCTTGGTACTCCTTTTGGCATTTGAGCATCTTTTTGACATCTAACCCTGTGGGAGTTCCATGTTGTCTTAAAGATGCTCATCTCTTTATGAATTAGAGGGATAAAGATGAATGCTAGGAGATTCCTGTGAATCAGGACATGAAGAATTTTTAGTTTTAGTTGTTTTTTTCCCATTTCGCTAGATAATAATGATCATCATCATAGCGGAGCCCGCGCGAGCGAAGCACCATAGGTATAGAATATGGTAAACTATACATCTCAGTTTTCGTGGTCATCGTATGGGAACCCTGTGCGTAACGCTAAAAGTTTCGCCCGCCAGGTGTACATCGCGTTTCTGATTGGTCGAGCTTTCAAATCACACGTCACTTGGAAAATGGCGACTTTTTTAACGAGCTTTTTAACTATCATTTTTTTGTAAATATTGTAAAAACGAAACAAAAAAATTATTGAAGAAAATCATGGAAAAATAGAATTCGCCACAGTGTGAAGATAGAGGTTAGGACATTTCCTATTTATTTTTATTTTTTTTTAGGTTAGATAACATAGCTAACATAGTTAGATAACATTACCGGGAAACGAGCAACAAACTAGCATGAGGAACGAGCAAAAAAAAAAATACGTGTTTTGTTCTTATGGTAATAGTATTCGTAGTTCATACATGATACAAAATAATCATTTGAAAAAGCACTTTTTGAATTCCACAATTA